GAGTTTATTTTAATAAAAAACAAAATTAAATGCTAAATGTTAATAGGATACATTAGTAAAATTGGGGCTAAATTTCTGTGAACCTTGTTTCTTTATAAATGCAATAGCTTTGCCAACAATTAATTTGAAATATTACTTCTCATAAAGCTGTTTGAAAATCTGAAACAACTACTACATAAGGAAGAAAGAGCTGAATAGTTAAAAGTAAAAGTCTTGATTCTTCTGTAAAGGTTAGGCATTTTAATATGATCTTTTGGCTGATTTATGTAAAGTTTTGTATTTTTCATTTTCTCAAGCCTGTCACTGTAGTGATGTATGGTACACTTTAGCATGAAGTTTGCCATGAGCAATAAAGTCAGGGCCACCAAAGAAATTTTAATATATGTTTCCATTTTTAACCTGGAGCTTTCCATTATTCCATTATTTTGTTTGGGATCCCATGTTTAGGTGATATACTCGATACACCCACATAAATAATTTAAGATTTTAACTTAAGGAAAAATTTAAACAAATTAATTATTCAGTAAGAAAGTTTAAGGGTCATCATATATAAAGTGAAAATCTTAGTGATAAATTTACATGGAAAACTTTTCTAAAGATAGTGTTTTACATTTCAGTATGCTTGGGACATTTTTCTCCAACTATAAGATAAAAGAAAAACAAAGAGGAAAATGACTTTCATTAAATGGCATGAAACATAAAATGGAAGTACATGTCTATAAAATTCTGTAGGAAGAAAAAAATGAAGTATGAAAATAATAATGTCAAATTTAAAAATTCTTATTGCAGAGCTAATAGCTATTACAGAGGGAATAAAGATATGAAAAGAACAGCCCTCAAGAAATTTATAACCTAGTAGATATATTAAGCCCTTAAACAACTATAACATAAAACTGATTAAGTTATTTGTCACAAGAACAAAAGAAACAAAGTGTTAGGGCAGGCCATCTGGTTTGGCTAAATGTATGAGTATTTGAATTCAACCTCATGGGCAGGATGTAAACAGTTAAAAAATGGAAGCAGAAAGAAAGAGAAGAAAGAATAAGTTGAGGTAAGGGAGGAGAGAAGCAGGAGATATTGTAAGAGGGTATCCAGTGCTTCTACATTACTGGACAAAAGGATACGTGGAGGGGAGTCCTGGGAACCAGACTGAAGTAAGATGCATGGCAGAACCTCAGGTGGTTCTTAGTTCATGGCTAAGCACCTTCTTTATTTAGAAAACAATATAACAGAGTTATGGATTTTTATGCAGAAACAAAACTAGAAAGGAAAATCAATATGCTACTGGAATAGAATATGGGGAAAATGAAAGCAAGGAGTCTACTTAAGTTCTCTCTTGCTGAAAAGTTTGATCAGGATACAACTTTAACTAGAGAGAAGGAAATGGAAGTGACATAGTATGAGACATATTAGAGCTAATAAAGGACTAGTAGCAACTGAATGTACATGGCAGAAGAGAGACATCTGTAAGAGATGATGTCAATATTCCATGCCTGAGTTACTAGGGGTAAAACAGTAGGGTTAAGTAACAAAAGCAGGGAAAAAGTATACTTGGAGGGGAAAATGAGTTCAAGGTTTGTACACATGAGCTCGATAGAGGCAATCACACCCAACAGCTAATCAGAAATACCGATTACAAGTTAAGGAAAAAAGTAGCTATTAGTAGAATGAACAGAAGGAGACTGACTTGAGTCATCTGCACGGAAGTGAAAAGCAAACTTGTTGGAAAAGACAAAATCCTGGAAAGAGAAAATACTGAAAAAGAAGGGAGCCATAAAAATAACTTGAGGTGTATATACATGGTGAAGTTAAAAAGCAGGTAAGCTACTGAAGGAGATAAAAGGAATCTTGAGACAGAACTTATGTCAGAATAATAACATGATATATAACCATTAGAGGGTGAATTTCAAAGAGATGATGGCCAGTTTTATTAGGAAAAATTAAGAACTGGGAAGACTAAGAAAAGGGTAAATGGGGTCAAGCTAGATTGTAAATGTGTTACAGAATAAATGAAAACTAAAGGAGTTTAGGCAGTAGATTTTTCAGACTGGTAGTCAAGATACTGCATTTGAGATCTTACTATTATTCTGGATACAGTGTTAATTCATTTGTTTATATGAGTTTGAAATGATAATGTGATTTTGATAAAACATGTGGAAGAGTATCTGTCATTTTTGTCCTCTATTATTTATTCATCTTTCTTTTGTTGATTATACTTCGTTTTCCTTCTACAGCATCCCCTTCTCCAGTATCTGGGTTGGCTCAGGGACTGGGACTTGGGCAAAGCTTTACTCAGGACAGTGGGATGAAATGGGATTTCTGGGGAAGAAACTCTCATTAATTCCCTCTGGATCCACAGTAAGAACTTCAGAGCTTGTATTTGCAAAAAAATATTGAGTCCCAAAGGAGGAAACATTTAACATATGAAGTTATAACAATGAAGATAAAAAAAATGTTTAAGCAAAACTCCAATGAAAGAAATCAAACAAGAACCAAATAAATGGAGAGATATTCCATGGCCATAGGTAAGAAGACTAAAAATGTTAGTTCTTTCCAACTTGATCTACAGATTTAATGTAATCCTAATAAAAATCACAGCCAGTTACTTTGTGGATATAAGCAATCCAATTCTAATGCTTACAGGAAAAGGTGATAGTATTGAAGGAGAAGAACAAAGTAAGAATACTGACATTAGCTGACTTTAAGACATAGTACAAAATTACAGTAATCAAGACATCATTGTATTGGTGAAAAAACAGACTAGAAGATCAATGGAACAAAATAGAGAATCCTGAAATAGGTCCACACAAATATAGTGAACTGATCCCTGACAAAAGAGTAGTACAATATAATGGAGAAAAGATAGTCTTTTCAATAAATGATGCTAGAACTGCTAGACATCCACATCTTTAAAAAGAGAATCTAGACACAGCCCTTATGTCCCTTTATAAAAATTAACTCAAAATGGATCACAGACCCAAGTGTCAAATACAAAACTATAAAATGTATAAAAGATAACACAAGGGAAAATTTAGATGACCTTGGGTTTGGCAATGATATTGTAAAAACAGCTCTAAAGCCATGATTCATGAAAGAAATAATTGATAAGCTGGACTTCATTAAAATTTAAAACTTCTCTGTGGAAGACTGCCAAAATAATGAGAAGAGAAGCCATAGACTAGAGAACATGTTTGCAAAATACAGGGTCTGACAGAAGTAACACCACCGAGTGTGGTTGGTAGGGTAACGTGAACATCTCACAAGAGATGGACAGCAATTTGAACATTTCACCTAAAATGTCATGTGATATGCTTGAGTGTGATACTATTATGTTACAGAAGTGCATACTTATGATTTTGTAATAAAAGATTTTATAATAAAAAAGGGGCATTATTTGTGCTGGACCCTGTATAATGCTGGTAAAACAATGTTATGAAATATACAAAGAACTCTTAAAACTCAATAAGAAAACAGAGTTCAATTAAAAATGGGCAAATTATCTGAACAGACACCTCACGGAAGAAGATAGAGAACTGGCAAATAAGCACACGAAAAAATGCTCCACATCATATGTCATCAAGGAAATGCCATTAATACAACAATGAGATACCACTACATACCTGTTAACATAGCAAAACAATGCTGACAGCACCAAAAGCTGGTGAGGATGTAGTGCAACAGGAATTCTCATTCATTTCTGGTGATAATGCAAAATGGTACAGCCACTTTGGAAGAAAGTTGGTGGTTTCTCGTAAAACTAAGCATTCTTACCATATAATCCAGCAATTGTACTCCTTGATATTTAACCCAAAAAGAGTTAAAAAAAAACCCCAAATTTAGGTTCATACAAAAATTTGCACCTGGATGCATGATAGCAGCTTTATTTTTAATTGCAAAATCTTGGAAGCAACCAAGACGTCCTTCGGTAGGTGAATGGATAAACTGGTATGTCCAGGCAATGGAATATTGCCAGCACTTAAAAAAAAAACAACTCATGAAAAGACATGAAGGAACCTTAAATGCACATTACTAAGTGAAAGAAGACAACCCCAAAGTGCCAACATGCTGTATTATCCCAACTACATGACATTCTTCTGGAAAAGGCAAAACTATCGGGACTAGAAAAAGATCAATGGTTGCCAGAAGTTTGGGGCAAGGTTAAGCAGTAAATAGGTGAAGCATGGAAAGCATTTTTGGAAATGCAAATATTCTGTACAATACGTAATGATGGATGCATGTCATTATGCATCTGCCCAATGTACAACAAACAGAGAGAATCAAAACGTAAACTATGAACTTTGGGTGATTATGATGTGTTACTGTGGGTTTATCAGTTGTAACAGGTGACCCACTCTGGTAGGGGATGTCAACTATGAGGAGACTTTGTGTGCAGAGAGGGAACTGTATATTCTGCTCAGTTTTGCTGTGAACCCAAAAACTGCTCTAAAAGTCTGTTTTTTTAAAAAAAAGTTGCCTAAAATCAGCACAGTTAATATTGAAAAACTGTTTTTAAAAAATTAATCATAAAATAACCAGTATGAGTTAATGAGAGCTTTCCTGATCACCCAATAATGTTGAAACAATGCATATATTGAAAAAAATGACACAACACTGGGGTGACACCTGACAGAATAAACCTGATTGGCTAAATAAATCGATTGCCTTTTCATTCTCATTTTCAAATGGCTCTACACCATGATGCTACTGGAAGAGAGGAGATCAGGAAAGAGACAAAGAAGAAAATAAACTAGTGTGATAAAAGCAAAAAAGAAAGTCACAGAAGTGAGGGTTGTAAATGCAGCAACAGTAAAAAAAAACGAAATAGTACAGGTGACATACCATATACAGGACACAAATGGGATGTGGTAACCAAAGTCAGAGTGAATCCTGAGTAACATGGCGATATAATGAACAAGGCAGTCACATTTCTCCAATTAATCAATGGTCCTATAACTTCTTCCGAAGATAAAAATGTAATGAGAAAAAGCTGGACATAGTAATTGAGAAAATGCTATGTAATTTTTTATATTAAAATGGTAGCTTAGTACACAATGTTCATAAATGCTTTTTAAGAATTATGTATATAATTGGATGTTCTGCAGTTGTCAGGCACTGGGGACGCCTAAAAGAAAAAAAAAGGAAATGCACCATTTTTATTCTGTGTCAGTAAATATCTCACATTAAAGAAGTAACATTCTTTTTTGCAAGAAGGAAAACGGGACTGTGAAAACCAATGAAAGACCAAAACAAGGTGAATAATAAGCTATTTACGTAGAGCAGAACATGTAAGGGCCAACACGTCCAAGCGAGAATTAGGGGTTTTGATTTTCTGTGTGAGCACATGGCAGCAAAAGCAGCAAAGCCCTAGAAGGAAGGGGTTCCTTTCAGTGTATCTGCAGGATGTTTGGATAGTATAACTTGATTCTCTTGAGGGTTACCAGCTTTTTGCTAAAAGGTCACCAAGTGTCATCTTCCGGCCCAATTCAATGATCTATTTTCAATTATGTTTATCCTAATTTTTCTGGAGAAAGGACAGCAATACTTATTCACTGCTTTGGAAACTCTCTCCTGCTGAGATTTCTGGGGCTATCAGGTTGTCCTTTCCTTTGCCAGTCCTCATTAACGCTCTCGATTCTACAGATTCTGTATCATGTATACAAATGTGGGCATGTCTCAAGATTTGGTGATAGAAGGCCAAAGATGCAGAAGACTGTTTCCAATCCTTTATATCTCAAGGATCAGACTTTTTTTGTTTTGTTTTGTTTACTTAAAGGTTTATTTTCTTCTCATTTGAGAGAAAGAGGGTAGTGGGGAGAAAGAGGGAGAAACATTGATGTGAGAAACATCGATCTACTGCCTCCTGCATGTGCCCCAACTGGGGATTGACCCCGCAGTCTGGGCATGCCCTAACTGGCAATCCAACCAGCAACCTTTTGATTACAGGACGATGCTCCAACTGAGCCACGTGGGCCAGGGCTCAAGGAGCAGACCTTTGAATCAAAGGGGCTAATCCAGATCTTTACCTATTCCACAACACAGTTACATTCTGCTGTATCGCGACAATCAATGTATGTAAAATAAAACTCTTTATCACACCCCTGCCTCATATTCCATCTTTACTTGTACTTCTGTTCCCTTGGATATTTTTGAAAAGCTTTTATTTCTCCTTTCCTTCTCTCTTAAACTTTGCATGATAAAAATTCAATTCATATTCAAACCTTTTCCCTAAGGCTTATGGACAACTATCGAATTCTTATTTTACTAGGTAATTTAATATTTGGTTATAAACTATCTTGTCTTCTTTTTGATTAATGTATATACGAGGTCTGTCCAGAAAAAGTCAAGCCATTGTTAATAAGATAACGGTTTGTGAGACATTGATATAACCTGGCAGCCAAGGAGAGTAGACTGGAATGCACACACATAAACAATGACAACTTCATTGTACTAGTCAGTGGGGATGATAGACACTACTGAGTGAGCATGTGTACTTATGGCCATCACGTTCAAAATGACTGAGTAAGTAGAGCAATGAATCTGCATCGAATTTTGCATTAAGCTTGAATTGAACATTCTTCCATGGAAACTACTCAGATGATTCAGAAGACCACAGCTATGGGCAACTGGTGACTGGCAGCTTCATCATGATAATGTGCCCGCTCAGGTGTCATGTCTCATGCAGAGATTTTTTGTGAAACATCAAATCACCCAGGTGACTCAACCCCCTATAGCCCAGATTTGGTGCCTTGCAACTTCTGGCTTTTCCCCAGACTAAAATCACCTTTGAAAGGGAAGAGATTTCAGACCATCAATGAGATTCAGGAAAACATGATGGGGTAGCTGATGGTGACTAGGAGAACTGTGTGAGGTTCCATGGGGCCTACTTTGAAGGGGACTGAGGCATCACTCTCCTGTGTACAATGTTTCTTGTATTTTGTATCTTCTTCAATAAATGTCTCTAGTTTTCATGTTACATGACTGGGTACCTTCTGGACAGACCAAGTATGATTCCCTTTTCAACTGAACTACAAATGCTTTAGAAATGTAAAAACTTTAGCATCATGTAGTGCTGTGAAAACTATAAACATTTGCAAAATTCTTAGTTACTGATCTAGGATCTGAAAAAACTCACTACTGATAAAATCATTTTTTACCCTTTTGTCTGTTATATTAGGCTGGCAAAAAAGTCAGCATGGTTTCTTCTGTAAAATAAAAGAAAGAGTTTTCATTTTCACCAATAACTTTATTCATTTGGATATTTTGAGTAGGTTGGCTATCTCCCATGTGGTATAACATTGACTGTTTTCAATTAATGTCTCAATTTGATTGCTATCAACTTCAACTGGTCTATCTGACCATAGAGCATTGTCCAGCAAGAAATCTTCAGCAAGAAACTTTGCAAACCACTTTTGACACATTCAATCAGTCACAGTACCTTCTTAATACACAGCACAAATCTTTTTTGTGTGTTTCAGTTCCACTTTTATCTTTCTTGAAATAATAAAGCATAATTTGGCAAAATATTACATATTTTCTTCCATCTTCAATATTAAAAAGGCTACACAAAAATTCACCAATTTTGATAATCTTTTTTAAATGCATGTTGATATAACAGCTGTTACAATATGAACTAACAAAACTGTTTTGAATGAAGTTAAAGACAACTAAGTGCTACTAGAGCCATCTTACGGAAAAAAACAAATGAACTTTTTGGTCAACCCAATAGTATTATATATACAGAACCAATTTCAGTGATTGTCTCTTGAAATCACTGTGAATCTTAGGTTTACTCACCTTGTCCTCCAAGTGCAATTCTAAAAAGCGCAGGTAAGCCACAGGTGCAAATGCATCTGCTGAATGTATGACTACTTCTGATGAATCTCTGAAATACAAAAATTTTATAATGCATTTATTTACTACATAAACTGTGTCAAATCACTACAGCTATGACTGGAGGAGACCCAAAAATCCTCATTTTCTCATTTTGTATTTATTTCCACTAGTATACAACATTTAGTAATTAACACCAATTTTTAATAATCTGATATTTAATTGGGAGAAGGATCAAGGATACTAAACTTTCAAAAAAAGGTAAAAAACTTTTCATTTTTATGAGGACACATAGTTTAACTTGCAGGTTCACTCAAAGCTCAACAATTTTGAGGCTTAAAACTCCTATTCAATTTCATTTTTAAAAATTTGCTTGGTATGGGCTAACCATTAAACAATAGTGCTTTATCTTCATTTTTCTTTTCATTTTCAAGAGGTAATTCATTTAGTGTTTCACACAAAATCTCAATTATCCTTTACAAAAGCAGTACTGGTGATGGTTTTAAGCTCTAGGTGAACTCTTCACACTGCAATATCATTGCTGTTAAAACTGATTGCCTGACACAGTAATTACCACATTCAGGTAAAATGGTATGAACTGCTTGCTGGCACCATATGGATACATGCAAATTAACCTAACTTTTATCAAAGATCCCCTGTAAAGCACATATGAATCACTAAGATTATGTGTGAATGTCTAATAACTAATTATTTTTATTGTTATTTATTAAGAAAGCAATAGTGTTTTGCATTTTAACTGAAATTTAAAAATAGAAATTCCTCATATTTCTTAAATGTCTTGGAAACTAGCTCCATTGTTTATATTAACACGTAGTTGGCTTTCTACCCATTGTAGTACAGTAAAATATATTATTACTTTATTTGATTCTTTGCCACTAACATAAGATGTTTTTTGAATCCCTTTATGAAATGCAGTTATTTAGTGGCAATGGAAGAAAATTCCAAATATTTGACTCCAAAATACTAACTTTTCATGGCAAAACCTGTTTACTTTCCCCTTAACAGACCAGAAGTAAAAAGAAAATGTTTCATGATAATAAAAAAGTCAACTACCATCATAAACTGTTAGTATCAAATATGCACCTTGTTAGTGCTTAGGAAAATAAAATAAAAAAGGCTTCTATGAAATTAAAAGGAAGACAACTGATAATATAATTGATATAGAATCAGTCAAGAGTCATGATACTAACACACAGATATAACTTGCCTTCATAGGCTACGTCAACCAAAGGTGGCCTCCAGGTGTGATGTGCAGCAGGAAGAAGGGAAAATAAAGAGAAGCCCCTTGTTTTCTGCTACCAGCTCTCCCGGCATGACCCCTCTTGGTCTGGGAGCCCCAGTCTTGCTGTTTCTCCAATTACCCCACAGCTGCCTGTCCTGGTCCCATCTTGGCTCATCAATTAGGTTCAAATTCCAATTCCTATGTACGATCTCACTCTTACACTAAATTTCGATCTTTCTGCTCCTGATCTTAGCCTTGGAAACTGACCTTGAGCCTTAATTATACCTAATCTAGGCAGCGTGGTTTTGATATCCTTGATAATGGAGTGCCCCAAAAGTATAATTAATTCAACCAATGCTATATCAGTAGAAAGCATTTCAGGCCTTTCCTATCTCCACTAGAAACAGAAGGTTGATAGCAAATAGCTCACTTAATTGATGTAAATACTCCATTCTAAATCAAGGTTTTTATCCACAGAAAATATATAACATTCTGAGCACTAAACAAAGAGGAATACTCTTTTTATGGATACTATTAAATCCACAATCTCTAGTTGACCAACACCAGTTCACTCACTAGACAAAGCCAGAGTCATCTGGGAGAGTCTAGCTCTTAAAAGAACTTTTTTTTTGTTTTTGTAGATTCAAACAGAATAATGCCATTATTGCTCTTTTCTCTTTCATAAACTATCATCTGAAATTCAACTTTCAAGGATCTCTGGTTTCTGTCTGTTTCACGTATTTCCCTGAAACATAAGAGCAGAATCTGCTGGGATATCCTTAGAGTAACCCAGAAAATTAATATCAATTATGCCACAACAAAAATGTTTTCCAGTTGGCTACCCTCCTCCTCTTTCCCTGTCAGTACAAGTAACAAGCGTACTCACTACCTCTTCTACAACCAAGGCTTCTCTGTAGCCCAGAGCTGGCCTGTGTTCCCTTTCACTGATGTGCTAGCCCACCCCTAGCTACACTTTCAAAAGGGAAGCCAAGTCAGGTCTATGTCTCTCTTCTCTGATGCCATGCTCCCAAGGTGTAAGGTCAGGCTCTATTCCTCACCTCAAAACAAACAAACAAACAAACAAACACACTGATATTATCTTTTGAGACTCAGCCATGGTCTTGATTTCTCCCTCTTCTCTAAAAAGGCACCTGCACACAGATATTCCCTGTGGACTCACATCCTCACAGACATCTCCAGTGTCATCGGTGGGAAGCTGTCCCTGGCATCCTCAGACAGGGCCAGTTTGCTCCTCGATGTGCCTTGGTACTGTATTTATAGCCCTTCACAACAAATCCACTATATAATTATGCCTTTGTTTACATATCTTCCTTCTTAGAGAGAGACCAAGTGTTGCTGATTTTTGTTTGCCTGCCCGCCCACCCCATATCTTCCACTGGCTTAGTACAGAGTACATGGCCTGGTATTTATTAGACCTTTGTTAAATAAACCAATAGATGTATAATTAAGTTTGTTGAGTATTTTCACATTTACACACTATCTATTGAAACTATCACAAACCAACACTGGTTTTCCATCACTTATCTTCGCATAAATACATACTTTTTCCTACATGCATACTGTAAGTATAACATTTACATGAAAAATCCACACATATATACCATAACACCATATAGCATCTCTAGCATCATAATAAAAGTAAAGTTTTATAGATCTGAAAACTCAGATACAAGAATAGTGTGTAAATTTAAATAAACTCCCAGGTGATAAAGAATAGATGTGAGAAGGCAGTAAAGAAAGTACTCCACTTCCTGTTCTTACTGTTAATGTCCCATTACCATGCTCTGTGCTGAGTTATATCTTACATGGGTAGAAAATAGGAATAGGAATAGAAAAATGAGCACATGATCTTTTAAAATAGAATTTCATCCTTCCTTTCTTACTCTCCCTCTCCCCATTATTCCATCCAACCTTCCATCCATTCATCCATCCATATGTAGTAACTCTGCAGCAGTAGTATAGTAATATTGACAACTCAAATGGAAACGTGTCGTATCGAATACTGATGTTAAAACCTTGTGTTCATTAACAAAGAGAAGAAAAGTATCATTTTTATTAATACATTAGGATTTTAGTTCTTCTGAGATATTATATATTTAAAGTATGGAGGAATAAAAAAGGTTATTTAGTTGAGGACCTACAGTTGTTCACTTCTCTTACAGGCCAGACTATAATTCTTTGCAGCAAGGATCTTCAGGAAAAACCTCATTTTTTCTGATCTAAAAATTTGTATCTACAGGAGAGTAATCACATACTAATTGATATGAAAAGTGGATTTATAAATGTTCTAGTTAAAATTTCAAAAAAAATTACTTCAAAAGACTGCTATACCAATCTTTCCTACAAGATTATAAAAACATTAATTGGAATTTGAGGCAAAATGTATCTCATAACAAACTGATAGAACCACACTGATTTCTCTAAATTTCTTCATTATCATAAAAGAGTCAATTTGTGTTTAAAAAAATCCCTGATTATAATTAATTCATTTTTGCATGTAAACATTTATTTTTTATAGGTGATCTTCCCCTTTTTATAAAAAATTTGAATCAGACACTTGTAATGGAATTCCTGATAATCAATTAGTTGTATGCTAACTATATTACATCAAATATAACAGAAAAATTTGTTAAATTTGTTCCAACAGTAAATCCTGAGTTACAGGATCCAGTATTATTAATGGACAATTGTTAACTAATAGTTATAGGGACTAAATTAAATCTTTTAATAGTACAATATGGAAAATTATCTCTAAATAAAATAACCAATTTACATTCAGTTTTAGAATGTGCAATGCATATTCAGTCATATCACCACATTTATCAGCAGGTATGATATGGACATTTTCTATTTTAAAGAGGAGCAAAGGTTTTGTATATAGTAGGTGGCATCCTTTTTCTTTTTAAACTAGGATATGTTCCAACTTAACCCTCTAGTTATAGCCTAAAACAGGAATACATAAAAGTGATATAGGATATATAAAAATAAATAACAATAAACGTAAAGCTAATTCAACAATATTTAACAAACACGTGTTAGTGCCAACTGTGTGCTGTGCGAGTTCAGGTATGGGAACAAGCGCTGAGGCAACGGCAGCCCTTAAGAGTGGCAGGATTTAGCAAAGTGGGGAGAAGTGGGAAGGAAATCTACGGAAAAGGAATGAAGTAAAACAGTAATGAAGCTGAGGTGAGGCAGAGCCTTTGAAGAAAAAAGCAAAGAAGATGCGTAAGCATTAGAATCGAATTACTGACTGACAAATGAGTAAGAATGCAAAGACAGAGCTTGTCCTGGTGCTCTCTAGGTCCACAGCTGTATGTTGCACTCACCACGTGTTGCTGATTTGCCCGACCATTCTCGCAGGAAGAACTGAGCAGGGTGGCATCTTGCACAGTCCCACCCACACAAGGCGCCTCAGTAACTGAACATTCAGATGAACTGAATAGCTCATTTTGGCACTAGAGAGTTCTAATACCCCTCACCTGACACCTGTTCTCTTTACTAGCACGACCAATTCCCCTCATGCCATTGTGTCAGTCAGGCTTAGTTTTTCTTGTCTACAAAAGGAGGTGAACAATATGCATTTTCCAGGTCTCAAGTACTATGATAAATGGACATTCTGGTAATGTAGTGTAAAGAAGCGCATGCCTCACAATTCTAGGTTAACCTCAAAGTCTTCTGGGTACTCTAGGACCTCACCTTGTCAAGTAAACAAGAAAAGCATTATTCTTTGGCATTTTTTCTATCATTTTTTCTAAGCTGCAATAATAAGTCCCATATTAATAAGTAAATATATTGCAAGTTTGCAATTAGATTGTAATTTCATCCTTGCATGCCAATGCTTTTCTTGAATAACCAGAGTATTATTTCATAGAAAAAACACCTGTGCACAGTTCATTCATGAACTGTTTTGTGGTCATCATGGCCTGAGAAATATGTTCCATTTATGAACTTATTCATGTGACTCCTACCCTTCAGTGTCTTGTAGCATAACATATACAGATATGTCTTCCTTCCACCCTTGGGCGGCAGGAACTGACTGAACACCAGTGGCACCCAGAAGAAAGCCTTAGACATAATAGGTACTTGATAAATATTTGTCAAATAAAGTATTATTGTGTTGATAATTACTAATGGAAAAAAGTTAGGAAAAAAATGAAAGAAGCAAGAGTGACTGAATATTGCATATGGTAATAAAAATGTCTTAGCCATGTTTCACTAGATAAATACAATTTTTAGAAAATTCACTTAAAGTTGTCAATTTTCTTAGATCTCTCCTTCCTTCATTATTATTATGTACAAAGAAGTCTCCTCTTAGTGTTGAAAATATTAAAGTTGTCTGTTCAATACAGAACTCTAACCTTTCATTAGATGAGTTTCTGAAATCAAGCCTAATTCTATCAGTCTTTTCCAAGCAGCAGAAGAGTGTAGGAAAAGCAGACAAAATGCTCTCAGCATATGAGAAGAGTGACACAAATGAGAGTACAGATGATAATGCAACAAACTGGAGAAAGTTTGTTTTTCGTTACACTAATTTTAACAATTTATAGCAAAGAAATCACACTGCTCACCAAAAACTGAATTCACTTAAAAACAAAATTTGTTTCCAAAAACAACCCGAATAATTGGAGAGAAATGTTTAATGTTACCATTCTATGTTGTTGAAGCCAAGCAAAAGGAGAAAGAGGATGAAGTCAATGGGACCCACAGACTGCCGATGTGGCTGTTTATCAAATGTAGCTGTAATGAAAGGTAAATAATACAGGCAATTCACACTTCATGAGAGGATAAAAGTGTCAGTGTGTAGGTACCAGTTTTACTGCAGGCCGTAATCAGCAAGTAAACGAAAGTGCAATGTCTAAAAAGTTTATAGCCTTCTATGAAGGCCTCATCTTGTCAGGTATTGATTTAGATACACCGGCGACTTCCCTGGTATTAAACAAATTGAGTGTTTGTGAACTTAGAGGACATGTTCTATTTCTCCCAACAAAAGTTGCCTCAAGCTTAACGTTAAGTTGCTTCCAACACTTACATTTAATGAAAGAAAATGTTGAAAAGATATCTTACACAATTATTTTTTTCTTAAAGAGAGGGCAATCCAAAGTGAATGTTTCATATTCTCCACCTTCGCCACAAACATGGACTCCGTATTTCTTGGAAAGCTGAAAATAAAAATAAGAAAAAGAAGCAGTAAAACTAAAATTAGAGAGCAATGATGCTCAATTAACATACTATTTTGTCTGAAAAACATCCATGTAAGAAACCTTAATTTCAAAATAGATTTGCAAGCTACAGGAAAATAACTTTCTATTTCTACTTTAAAAATGCATTTAAAGCCATGTGAAAAATGTTATCATAAAGCTTAGGATTTTTAATAACTCCAAATCCTTAGAAAAATGTGAGCAACCAACATTTTCATGTGTAAATGAAAAACTTGAAGAATCCTATAAATTTGAGGAATATACTGGCTTTAGATTTAAAGGGAGGCTGAGAAGGACAGGTACTAGGTCATTATGTAGTAAATGAGAATATACGCAGCCAAACTGTGCTCTCCTCCTGCCCTTTGACCTAGATGTAGAAGGGAAAAAAATATGTTGTGTTTAGAGTATTTTTTCAGAAACACAGAGAAAGCAATCGAAGGCCTTTCCTAGACCTGTGAACGAGAGAAGCCACAAACACGGTTATTACGCTTAAGGTTATTGTTAGTAGTAGGGTTCCAAAGGTACTGAGAACTAGTGAAGTTCTTGTGTGCAGCTTTAGAAAGACCCAACTCCAAAAAAAGTTGGAGCTTATACCGTCATCTTATTAAACCTGAAGTGAAAAACACAAACAAGCAAGCAAAAAAACCAAAACCCTATGATTTATATTAAATATAAGCTATATTATTTAAATGATCCTGAAACTGACGGTAAACTAATCTCCTAGTTGGCTGACACATGGCTGAAACTAGTGTTTGGGGGCGCTCACTAGCTGTGTCGGACTCTCACTGCTCCTGTGTCGGGGCTTTATCACTATGATTCCCTTTCCTTCATTCTGAATTTCACACCTTTCTCTGCTTATAGCCTCTCCTGGCCCCAAGTCCAGGTAGCCCAAAGGAAGAGTGACTCCGCTGATGTTCCCTGTTGCTGCCAGTGCTGGGACGGTGGCCCCAGTCTTCAGTTTTACCTGCATACTCACGCACTTATGCATTTGGTTATCTGAATCCATCACATTTCAACTACTGCCTATGTGCCTTTAGGGATTTAAAGCATGGGTATGAGAATTCTCCTGTTTCCTCCAAGGGTCAGCAGTAATATGAATGACACCGTAAAGCCATGGGGCAAGGGAAGTGAGGGAAGGAAAACTTTTGTAAATGCCCTCAGAGGAGCAAAGTAAATAAATTTTCACCGTGCTGGGTCATGAAGCAGAGAATCGGCAAGGCAGAATCATGGCAGTTGGTTCTTATGGGAGCAGATAACAGGAACATTAGTTTCCCCTGTAACTACTGTTAAGATAAGCTTTTTAAAAAACATTTTGAACAGATGTGAATGACTAGGGTCATTTCATGGCTTATAAGAATGTCTGAGAGTCTGAGCACGGAAAAAGTAAATTCATAGTAAATGACAAGAAAATTACTTATGTGGTACTATTTTTTCTGACACATTTATATAGATAAATATTCCATTCATAATAACCCAATTTGAATGCTACTGATGATTAAACTGAAAAGGTTAAGGGCATCGTGATTTCCTTGCTTAATTGTTTACCCCTTTAAAAGATGGTAATAATCATAACTGTAAGACGTTGTAATTAAATCAAGATTTTTCTTCTTTTAAACCTGCCTTATTTATCCATTAGTCATCTTAAAATTGAAAAAGAAGGAAAATGAAGTCGCACTTCACCCTCATCCTGCCCCCCACTACCTAGAGAAAACTGTGAGGTTCATAAAATCCACCTCAATTACACGCTGCATCTATTCATTCACAGCACTTATTCAAGAGGTGTTTACTGAATATCTATTGTAGGTTTGGCATTGTTTTAAGTGCTGGGGTTAGCAATGGCAGCGACCATAAATTATGCATAAAACAGCCTACTATCTGGAGATATAGACAGAAAGTTAAACTAGCAGTTACAAAAAAGGGTAGTGATAGCTTTGATGGATGCAGGAGATGCAGTGGAATATAAAGCAGGAGAACTAACTAGAAGGAACTCAAAAGACTTCTCAGACTGAGTAAAAACTTAAGCTGAAATCTGGAGGATGAGGAACAGGAATGGCTAGAGGGAGTGAGGGAGGGACAGAGGGAAAGAGAGAAGATGGGAGAGAAGGAAAAACTGTTCCAGAAGGGACAGCGTATGTTAAGTCCCAGAGCACGTGATGGGTCCTAGAAACTGAAATAAGTTTGGCATAGGTGGAGCATCACTAGAGCAGTAACAATGAGAGGAGGCTGAAAACTGGAAAGAAAACATCTTATGGGGCTTCATAAGCCATACTAAGTCATTATCCTAATGTCAATGAGAACCCATGGACAGGTTTTAAGAAGAAAACCTGATTTCATTGGTCTTTTAGAAACACTCTGCACAATGAAGAATGGGCTGGTGGCGGAGTAAGTCAAGAAGCAGAAAGAACTGAGAAGTTGCTGGAGAAATCTAGGCAGGAGGTGAAGATTTCCCGAACTGGGGAAGTAGCAGTGAGGATGGAGAGGAGAGGGCAGATGTATTGAGAGAAAGGTTTTTTGGAGGCTGAAATGATTTCTTGAATAGAGAAGTGAGAAAAGCTTAAACAAAGAGAAAAGAGGAAAATTCCCAGCTGGATGGATGCTGGTTCAGTCTGCTGGTATCTCAGCACAAGTGGCAGTTTGCTGGACCAATGCCCTTATCCTTTTCAAACTTTATGTGGCACGTGACACCACTGACGTCTCGAATCTTTGCAATTACTTCCTCAGGCTTCCAGATACTAAATTTTCTAAACTATTGTTATCCTTCTCTGACTCCTCTCCCTCATACTGCTCCTAAATTATAAATATCCCTCATAACCGCCTCTGTAAGATGTTCCTCTCTCTCAGTTTGCTCCCTCGGACAGTTCGTGCGCTCTGAGGCTTCACGCGCCACCTTTGTGCTATTCTGCTGCTGCTAACACTAATGTCACTACTACTTAAAGACTATTTGCTTTACGCCTTAAAGTGGAGAAAATGATCCTCAAAGTGACTTTTAATAATAAAAAATCATATAGGCTCTGAAATCAGATAGATTTAAAGAATAAATTCCAGTTCTGCTACTTCCCAGTGACATGACTTTGGGAAAGTAACTTATGGTACCCTCTAAGTGATTCCTCATCCATAAGATGTAAACATTAATTGTAGCAACCTCTCTTTTTATAAGATGATTAAGCAAAATCATACATAAAAAAGCATTTAGCACAGACTATGGCACTCAGTAAGCACCTCATAAATATACAGCTTAACTGTGAAAAGGGAAAATGCATATTGTGGTGACTCACAGTGACAGCAGCATTGCATAAATGGTTACAAGCAGTAGTTTTGGAGACAGACAGTCATTGGTTAAGCTCCTCTGTCACTTTCTAGCTGTGTGATCTTAGGCCATACAAACTACCTGAGCTTCGGATTGCTGATCTGTGAAATGGAGATGGTGTAGGACCTACTTCACAGGAAAGCCTAATGTGCTGTCCAGCCCACAATAAATAAGAAAATAGCTACTAATTTTATTTTTCCCTTTTTCAGAGAGGAGAACTAGACTGATTTGCAAAAGTTATGTCATTTAGAACTAGACAAAAGCAGAATTTAAAGTCATGTCCTGACTCTCTACAGAATGATGATAGATAACAAACCTTAAGTCTCTTAAATGTGCTCCAATGTCATAGTTTAAAAACATATGCCTTTGGTTTATGTTATCATTTAAAACTCAGTATGTTTAAACCCAAGCTTATCTGTTCCCTCTACAAATATATGTGCTTCTAATCTCAGAGTCATTATGCATAGACTAATCTTTTGATTCTTTCTTTCCCAGCTTCTGATAATTTGGTGCTAATTTCTTTTTAATCCTTTCATCAAAATCTTTCAGTTGTGTTCTCTATCCCTACTGTCAGTGACCTCATACCCTAAGCCCTCACATCTGTTTCCTGTGACAGCATTTTTCACTCATTTTTCTTTCCAGTTTCTTCTCCCAAATCCATGAATACCGCAGCCAGACTAAATTTCCTGAGGTATATTTTAATAATATAAATCCCTGCTGTTAAGCCTTCTCTATCTTTTTATTTCCTACCCCAAATCACCTGGCCCATCTCTAAAGGCCCATTAGGACTGGGTCCTAAATTCCCACCTTACATGTTTCTTATTAATCTACCAACACTAGTTCTTCATTTCTTTTACACCAAGTTCCTCATAGTCCCTGCATGTCTTCTTGCCAAGGTATCTTCATTCAAACTGATTCACTTTGTTGCCATCACGCATGTGAATTTCACCCAATCCTTCAAACCAGTTTAAGCGCTACCCTTTCCGTGACATCACTCATAGCTACTCCAGGTTCTGTGGCCATCTTGCACCTTCCCCCGATTTGCTAGACTCTACATTCCATGAAAAATTCAAAATCTTTGGCTTATTTTGTACTCCTTATAGCAATTACCATAGAACTGAGAACATAAGAAATCCTTACCAGTACTTATCATTCAATTCAATTGGTACCACACGAGACTGCTAATTAAGAGTTCATCTCCAACACACACTCAGGAAAATGTGAGGGACCTGTTCAAAGGCGTATTGGAACGGCCGCTAACCATGGAGGACCTCCACTTCTTCCCTTCACTGGTACCAGTCGGTGGGCACTGCTGCAGGTCAGACTCCATAAGTACACCTTTCAGAACTTTACTCCCTTCCTTTACAACCTTCTGCTTTACTTCATTGTTTAGATAATTATTTCATATCTTCAACAGTCAAAATCTTTTGCCATTTGGCTTCCATCTCCTTTTTCAGCTTCTTTAACCAGTTTTCAAAATATGTTACAATCTGGCCAGTTAACAACTCTACTCACCTTTTAAGTCCAGTATGGCTGTCAGTTTACCTCAAAATTACTAAGCATTCTCTCAACAACATGTGATTTTTTTCTTTGAAATTCTATGGCACATCTTTTTTGCTTTTCTTAAGAGTACATTTTATAATAGTTACTGGAC